GGACTCAGTGCTTCAGTTCCGGTCCTTCCACATAGGTGGTGCTGGATGGTGACAACACTCAAGGCCAAGAAGCCCCGCCCAGTACCTCATCATGGACCACACAGCTCCAGGAGACACCGGAAATCCACTGCTCTTGGGTTCTGGTGGCAATGACGAGTGGCAGCCACTCCAAGATCCTTTGTGGGAAAACCGCTGCTGCTTCCCGTTCTCCCGGAGAGGGTGCGCTGGCAGTGAGGAGGGCTGGGGGCTCCCAGGCTGCTGTGGGCTGTGCTGATGGATGACCCCATTGCTCCTACACAAAGACAAACAGAATGACAAGGTTTGCAACAAGGAATAGCAGTCCCCTGGCCACCCCCAAGGTCCTGCTCCTGGAAACAACCATTTTCAAGCCTTTTAGCTCTTTTGTTTCCGGTATGAACCACAGTATTTTAAAAATAACATAATTATAATATTACTTTTTTTTTCAATTGTAGAACTTATATTGACTTCCTAACATAGTAAACTATTGGGTTGTCAGAAAAGTCATAACGTATTTTTTCTAGGTTTCTCGTTGCAAAAATGCATCATGACTTTTCCAACAACCCAATAGGACTCAGTCCCGCTTACATGGTCACCAACACACACACACACACACACACACACACACACACACACACACACACACACACACCTTCTTCTTCACCCCTCCTCTTCCATATATATGTCTCATAATATTTGATTGAAGTGGTATTCAAAATTTACATAATTATGATCTTGTAAAATACCGCTCGTAGCTGAGCCACCCAATGTACTCTGATTACATGTTTCTTTTATGAATACTCTGAGATAAAATTCTGGATGGGCGAATTATATCTGGATTCGCCCCCTGGATGGGCAAAACTTCAAAAGTCTGATGCTACCATGTGATGATGAGAACACAGAGGCAAGGGACCCTGAGACACCGCTACAATCATTTCAGGAGCCATGTCTCAGCATGTGGCACAGTGAACATGCACCGATCTGTGGTCCCAGTAATCCCACTTCTATGATCATGTCCCGGAGAGACCCTCATGTATTTCCACAAGAAAGTTCATTAGCATAGTTTATAACAGCACGAATTGAGAAAATAACCTAAATTCCAAATCCAGAAAAATGAATAAATTATGATGATTAGATTCTATACAACAGTTAAAATGAATGAACTATAGCTACTTGTGTCGACAATGAGGTATCTCAAAAGCTGAATGTTAAATGAAAAGAAAAGTAATATCATTCATATAAAGTTTGAAAATATGTTAAATAATACTCTTTGGTATTCACGGGTATATACATATGAAATAACAGCATAAAAAAAGTCATAAAAAATAAAATTGCCAAATTCAGGATTGTGGTTACTTCTAGAGAGAGTGGTCAGGGACTGGGGTCAGGGAATGTTATTCTCTGCATGTTGGAAATTAATTCCTAATTTTAAAAAACAAAAGAAAAGAAATAAGAAATTTAACCTTTAGGTGTTCATTTTGCACTAAAAATGTTTCTTCCTAGAGGTGATGTCAAAAGAAATCCCACTCCATTCGTGTGGCCCAATCTGAAAACTTAGGAATAAACTGCTCTTCATGTAGGAAAGTGCCTCCAACATTTGTTTCTGTTCTTTCCTGCTGCCTGAATCACACAAGGAAAGACCTCAAGAACAACCTAGTGCCAAGGTGCTTATTCTAAACTAGCAGATAAAGCAGATAAAGCAGAGGGTAGATCCCTAAGAGTACGTGCAAAGCTGTGTGTGCACATTATTCTAGGAAAAGGGGACACCATGCTGTGAGATTCCCAGGGGGGTCATGACCTCTAATACACTCAGAACTTCTGAGCTGGTTTCATGGTACAAATTGAGCCAAGGAAAGCCCTGAGCAGCGGACACTCTGGGTGGGCTCTAGACCCCTGTCCTGTGTTCCTTTCATGGAGGCAGGGGTGCTAAGAGGTTACCCTGCGACTCTGGAGTCACAGAGACTTGGCTCCTAATCCTGGATCCACAGGTTAGTTGACTCTGGGGAGGTTACTTTCTGTGCCTCTGTTTTCTCCTCTGCTAAATGAGGGTAATAGTTGTGAGCATTAAGCGACTTCATACCTGTAAATTGCCTGGCATACACAATGCCTAGTACATGGCCAGACCTCAAGAGGTATAAACCATCCTGAGCCACGTCTCCCTGTTACATGCCCTGGGCTGCTTCTTACCACATTCAGAGCTTCATCAGTGACTCATGTAATGACTTATGCAATGTCTGTCTCCCCAAGTACTGTACACGCTCTTGGAGGGAAGGGAGCTTATCTCTCTTCTTGGCCAGGTACAGAATAAGTAAGTGTTGAATGGGCAGACGAAAGGAAGAAGGAGAGAATGAATGTCTTATGTAGAGCTGCTGATGCTGAGAGCTAAAAGTTACTAAAAAAAAAAAAAATTACAGATTATGAGCTGTGCAACGTCTAAGTTACTGATGCAGTATTATTCCTTTCTTTCCTTCCACAGAACGTTTTGCAGTGTAGTATGATGAAGGTCCAGAAAGATTGTTAAAGAAATAAAAACGGCAGTTATCCTTCTTGAAAAAAGCCTGATTCAACAGTAACCAGAAGAAGAAGAAAGGCGTATAGGCAATGGTGGGCTGGAGAGTCCCAAGACCAGAGGACACACGACTTCAATGATGAGATGAAAATGGCCGGGACTGGACAAAAGGGGAGGATCTGCAGTCAGTTGTCCCATCCTTCTGCTGACAATGAGGCAAAACAGAAAGAAGCTAGCAGGCCTCAAAAGAGGATGCAAGAAGAAAAGGAAGAAAGTGGGTCGATAGGCTGGTCTTTAAAATAAAGGTAAGCAACACAATTGCTCCCATCGGTTGAGAGGATGTAGAGGAAAGACACTCTCATATCAGCCAAGGGGAGGTCCTCTGCCTCACGACTTTCTTGGCATGAGCTTGGGTCAAAATGATAACTGGGTTTCTTCCTTTCACATGCCTCTGAGATTTACAGGGAGCCAACAGAGCACTAAACTCTATTTAAATGATCTCCAAGCACACCCAGGCAGGAAGGTGATCAGAATTTAATGATTAATCTTAGCTTGCTGCCACTCAATAACCTTGCTCTTATCTTTATGTCAAGAAGTATAAAGAGGTAGGGAACAGAATAAAAAGGCAGGGATTTTTTAAAGATAAAATTCTTCCTCGGGCAAAGCAGGAAAATAAATCAACCACATTTTTAAAAGTTCAAAAGAAAGGGCCTTATAATTACTGAATAATGGGGTCTGCATGTCAAATTGCTAGTAATTATGAATTTGATAGAAGAGGAAAATTATAGTATGCGGTTAAACTTTTAATATAGATGATCATTCTGATCACCTACAGTCCACAGGATAAAATGAATGAGCCTTAAATTTTCTCAACGAAAATGGGTTACTAAATAAGCTCATTCTTTAATTTGAATATGATGTGTGAGTATCCCTGTATAGGAGGCTGGCCCGTTTTGGAATTCCAAAATGAGACTCCCCAAACTCTTAGGTAACAGTATCATCTCCAGAGCAAGTAACAGACTCCAGTTTAGTAGTGCTCTTTGATGGATAACCCTTATTTGAATGCAGAGATTCAAGCAAGGCAAGCTTCTAACAAACCGTTACCATTCGCAACCACTTCTCTGTGTGAATTAAGATTTCTCAGTAGTTTGCAACGAGAAAATATTGCGAATATAAACTTGCAAAGAGCATGAGTACTTTTCAATTCCAAATTTGGGGCTCACAAAAACGTTTAGTCCCCACTGATTTTTACAGAAAGGTGAAGAGTTTGAACATATATAATAGATTTACCTTAATGAAATAAGCCTTGTTTATGATATCATGGTCTGAGGTGAAGTTACATTTAACAAAATGTTATCCTTTTTTTAATGAAAGTCTGAAAACTACTGATTTAAATAATTCTCTGCATATAAACTGCTTGATATCAAAACATTCAAATGACTTACGATTTCTCCTGCTTGTGAGATAGGGAAAAGAGGTCATAAACCAAGCAGACTCCAAACACGGTGACGCCCGTCTCTTTCACTAGCATCGCGCATGTCCCCAGAAACAAACTGAGCAGCAGGAAGAAGGGAGAAGCCGTGGGAGGGAAACAGTCCCCAACACAACACTGATCCACACTCCTGAAAAACAAGGTCCAGAGTCTTTTAATCTAAGCAGTAAGGTAGGTTGCTAAGAAATACCACACTTTAACAATAAGATCTCACGTCCATTTCATTGTATTCTAAGTGAGTAGCGGAACAAAGATTTCTGCAAGAATAGAATTATTTAAAACCACAAAGGTGGAAAGAAGTAAATGTCTAATACTGAATCTGATACTTAAATTAAGGTATATATTGGTTGTCGGAAAAGTCGTGACGTATTTTTTTCTATGTTTTTCGTTGCAAAAATGTGTCATGACTTTTCCGACAACCCAATATAAATGATGGCATATAACAAACAAACACTAAAAGCCATTTAAAATGCTCCATTGAGTGACATGGGAAGATGTTTAAGTGAATATATTTTAAGTAACACAGATTAAGCCACATGCATGAACTCTGGAGCCTGGTCTCCTGGGTTCAAATCACAGCTCTGCAGTTAACTAGCAGGGTAATATGGGGCAGGTTACATTGCCTATTTGTACCTCAGTTCCTTTATCTGTGAAATATGAGCACAGTGCTAGAGGGAGGATTCATTAAGTGACTTATTACAGGTCCAGTGTTTATCATCATTATTATTGTTTTAGTGAAGGTGTATGGCACGTTTCATACAAAACAAATAAATCAGTGGAGACAGATGTCTAGACACACCAAAACATAATCATCATTTCCCACTGTGATGAAAATACAGACGTTTTAGCCTTTTTCTTTTCTTCTAGCTAATCTGGATTTTTAAATTTCTTTTCCATGAGGACGTATTAGGTAGTTATTTTTCCCCCTCAGTATAATTTCCAGAAGGACTTTCCAAGACCCCTCCAGCACTATCCTGTCTTTACCTTACAACACGGAATCAGCTCCTCACCAAGAAACATCTCTGTTCCTTCAGCAGGTAACACACCCATGGCCTCCTGCTCCTTCGAAGCAAAGGCCAACAGCTCTGTACTCGTTACATCTTACCCTTACTGTTATATTTCAGAACAATCATACACAATTATATGCCAAATCTGAAGTACATATGCATTCTTCTCCAAAGCTGGTCTATAGCTTAAATTGCTAGAAGTCAGAATGGCATCAGAACGGCATGCACAACAGGAGCCTGTAATCCTATGGTTCCTTATCAAATAGACATGGATACACTGTGGGTCTAACCATGTTCCCCAATGTGTCAACCACACAGAAAAAGCCAGAGAGAACAAGCTTAAACTAAATGCGATTACTGATCTTGTTCTAACACCAAAGTAAATGGAAAACACCTATTGAATCTGGGTATATATTTTTAAGATGACTTCACAACACCATTTTACATGACTAGCAATGCAGTGGGAGGTCGCAAAGCCAGGACTGGAAGACTGGTACTACACCAAGAAGAGGCTCTGCTCTTCAAACCAAAACTTCTTAAGACTTAATTAATTTTATTCTTGATCCAAGGTCTAAATTGGTTTATTACAGGGTTTCTCAATTTAGGTACTATTGGCATTTTGGGGAAGATGATCCTATGTCGTAAGGGCTGCCCTACATATTGTAGGATCCTTGACCTATCCAGTTGTCATCAGCAAAAATGTCTCAAGAAATTGTGAAATGTCTCCTGGGGCAACGGAGGGGAGGGGACAGATTTATTCCATATTGATGACCACTCATTTAGAACAGTGTTCCTCAGAATCACTGGGCTTTGTAAGATTACAGGTCAATGAACTGATTGAAAGATCAAGGTTCACAAATCCTTAATCACAAAGGAGGGCAACATGATTCACTGGCCCCCTTTTTCTGGGCCATGTTCTGAGTCATCTGCCCCCATCTACATTCTCTTTTCAACCTGCCCCTTTCCCAGGTGGATATATCACAGCTCAGGTGCGAACCTGATCACAGTGGGAAGAGAGGGCCAATATAATGGGAAACTGTTCCATTGCTTCTCAGTCTCCCAAACCAAGGAGCTTCTGTATTTTGATGAAAGGATGTGCAAATTGGAAAACCACCATTTAGAAACACTGCTTTCATTTCAGCCTTATTGGTTTAAGCTCTGAGCTACTTTAATGACGATAAAAAGAAAAAAAATGACCAAAATGAAAAGGAAAATTAAACAAACCATAGGGAAATACAAGGACTATACCCAATATATTTTGGCTCAGAACTAAGATTCCAAATTCCATTCTCAGTGAGAAACTAAAAGTAAGAGGAATCAAGAAGCAAGAGCTTGTCTTCCTGGTACTGGGAGGGCAGTTCCTGTAAAAGGCTATGACATGGTTCAGAATGCAGAAGAGAGAACAGCCTAGCATTTGGTAAGGATAGGATTTCCTGTCCCAGATCCCCAGGAAGCACAATGAACATTTCACTGCCAAGAAGCCTCCCCTCCTCTCTCAGGCAGATGCTCTGAGTACGTACACGTGTGCACGCGCATGCGCGCGCGCGCACACACACACACACACACACACACACACACACACACACACAGAGAAATTCCCGGGGGACTGCATGACTGCAATTACACAGACAGGAATTCTTAGTTATACATACCTATTGTAGGAGAGAAAGGCCAACAGAAAGAGCAGGCACGCTAATACGTCAGCTCTGCCAACAATTCCGGCCACCTACAAAGTTTGAAAAAATTAAAAAGAAAAACCTCAGAGAATTACTTTCAAAAAACCATTACAGAAATGTATTTGACTGTAGATAAATGTAAGGTATAACAAAATAGAAACATCTGATATATGACTAACCACCTCTGGTTATCATATATATTTAACAATAAGCTGGAGAAATGGAAGGAAGGGACAACATTTTCATGCTTAATTTCATTTCAACCTTTCTTCTAGAAGGTTAATTCACAGCATCCAAGTTTATTCATTTACTGGTTGATTCAAAAACATTTTTTGAGCAATAAGTGAGTGCCACTGTGCTAGTCTTTGGGCACCAACGTGCTAGTGGGCAGAAGATATTTATAGAGTACTAGGCAAAAATAACTTGGGGACTCAATAGTTCTGACAAGACTGGAAATGAGTATGGACTCATGATTGCTATACAAGTTGCAATCACAAAATATGGTGAATGTTTAATTTTAAAAAAATTTATTACAGTAAAAGACACATTGCCATTAATTCCCCACAAAATACTTCTCCTCGCTTCAAATACACTTATCCCATCATTCTTGCCACTTTCTGAATCAGTTCTGGAAGTCCTCTTTCGTGAGTGTCTTTAGTTGCGCTGTCATGGCTGCCTCAACGTCCTGAATTGATTTACAATGTTTTCCTTTCATGGTCATTTTGACATTTGGGAGGAGCCAGAAGTCACACGGTGCCAGATCCAGTGAATAAGGTGGATGAGGACACACCGTAATGTTTTTATTTGACAGTCATTGCCATATCAGAAATGATGTATGACACAGTGTTGTCATGATGGAGGATGAAGTAAAGACACTCACGAAAGAGGACTTCCAAAACTCCTTCAGAAAGTGTTAAGAATGATGGGCAAAATGTGTTCGAAGCAAAGGGGAATATTTTGAGGGGGATTAATGGCAATGTGTCTTTTACTGTAATAATTTTTTTTTAATTTAAACATTCACAGTATTTTTATCACACCTCGGATGTGAATGTATGTGCACATGTGTGTGTTTCTCAGCTCTGTCTCTGAAAGGGCCTAAAAGCAAGATGCCCCAGTGGCACAGAACCATCCTGGAACTAACTGCAAGCCATTCCTCTTCTAAAGAAAACATGGACTCCAGAGCTGAGACTGAGGAGATACAAGAGGAGCTTTGATCATCTTCTCAAGTTAGACGGTAAGAAAGTTCTCAAAAAATGACAAGTACATGTCAAAAAGACACAGCAGCCAGTGACAAGGTGCTCCCACTGACCAAATATGAGACAATTTGAACATCAAAATAAATAAGGACATTAATGAATTATGTCATTATAAAAAACAGACATCCATGAGTGCATACTGATAATAAATGGATGGATAGATAGATGAATGAATGAATGGATGGATGGATGGATGGATGGATGGATGGATGGATACATATGTAAGTACATACATACATACAGTAAGCAAGTGAATGGGAAAGAATGGAGAGCTCTTCCTTACATTTGAAAGTCATTAATGAATGTAGAGGGGGTAATGCTGTTGGGAAAAAGTCATTTATTTCCACAAAAGACTGGATTGAGCAAGAAACATCACAAAATATCAATGGATGCTAAAACTAGGGTTTGAAAGTTTGATGAGGTACAGGATATTTGTAGGACTTCAAAACATTTCTTCACCAATTACTTATTAGCTGGAAAAATAAAAAGAATAATTATGCCATGGAGAAAATGCGTTACACTACATGACACCTTGACTGGGGGGAATCAAACTTAGCCTCATCAATAAAAGGCAAATGGATGTGGCATGCCTCTGCATGTGATACCCTGAGAAAGACATAACACCACTGGTGGGGTATTCCAGCCAGAGACACATAACCTAAATACAATCATGTGAAAACACAGGACAAACCCAGGGTCAGAACATTACATTAAAATATAGAAATAAAAGACATTTTATAAATAATAAAGTATAAGATATAATAGTTCTATATGATTTTATAACATTAAAATTATATTATGTTTTAATATCTTCTAATTTATATTATATCATGATTTACTAATTATATCACAACTTACAATCTATCATAATATTGCGTATAATATATATTACAGGTATAATATATTATTCTTACATGATATACTATGTATGCATATATTATATATTTATATTTTATGTATATTTTATATTTACACATTTCTGTTATGTATTTATATAAAATATATTTACGTTATTTTTGTTCATATATTATAAAATTAATATACTATACATGCAAATTACTCATGTTATAAATTATATAATATGCAATATGTATTATATATTTATGTTATAATTATATAATATAGCATATATTGTATAACGTCAATTGCAATATTATAATAAATATCATATTAATAACATTTTACATAAATTCTAATATTAAAATTTAAATTGTATTTAAAGCTATATATTATATTATAGAAAGACATGAATACTGGTAACCGTTCCAAACTTAACGGATACTAAAGAAAAACGATGACTAATGACCTTAGTTTTAGAATATAAAAATAAATCATTAAGGTGTAGGGGCATGAATCATGCAAGATGCTCTCAAGTGCTTCAAAAAAGGAATAATATTTTTATATATTTAGAGAGAAAGAGAGGAACAATGATAAAACAAGTGTGGCAAAATTGTAAACGTTGGTGAATTGGGATAAAGGGAATATGATCATTATATTTTTTAAGTTTGATATATTTTTAAGTGTGTTCTTCAGAAAGGGGCCCAAAGGGAAGTGGCGTGTGGAACAGAGAGCTACTTATAAAACTCTGTATTATTTTGCTACATAAAATGTGTGTGCATTTCTCTTAATTTTTTGAATCCAAGAAATAAAATCATACAGGAATAAAATGGGGTATGGCTCAAAGAACGCTTCAAAGAGAAGGTCACCTATGAGCTGGCTCTTAAAGGGGAGGAGGAGTTCACAAGGAATATGAACAAGGCTAACATTTCCGGCACAGAATACAGCATCACCCAAATCAAACAGGACCTGAAGTCTGCAGTGTATTAGAGAATCAATCAGTGATTAACAGCGGAAAAGTTTTCTGGGAAATAACACCTATAAAGATCCTCATAAAATGAGCACACTTTGCAGTCATAAAGGAAAGACGATGGTGAAGGCATTAAGAAATACAAATCTGTAGTTACAAAATAGTCATGGGGATGTAAGGTGTAGGGAATATAATTAATAATATGGTAATAACTATGTATAGTGCCAGGTGGTACTAGTCAGGAGGATCACTTCCTAAATTATATAAATGTCTAACCACTACACTGTACACCTGAAATGAATATAAAATAATATTGACTATTAACTCTAATTGAAAATTTTTTAAAAGGAAGGGAAAGATCAACAATACTGTGATATTGCTGGACTTGTTATGGTGATCACCTCTTTAGCACAGGGAATATAATCAATAATGTGCAACAGCTCTATATAGCGCTAGGTGGGTACTATTGAATAACTGTGATGTATACCTAAAACTAGTATAATAGTGTATGTTAGCTAAATTTTAATAAAAATCTTTTTAAAAAATTGAGACAATGACACACACGTGGGCTAGATCACCCCAGGCTTGAAGACAGACTCCCCTTGCCATGCGAGTGGGACTCAATTGTTATCTTTAATTTCTGAGATTCATTATTTTATCTTTAAAATGAGTATAACACCCCCTACCTCATGTTACTGTTGTAATTACTGAAACGATACATATAAAGTGCCTGCTCAGTGTTGGTGCCCTTTTTTCTTCCTTTTCCCTGCAGAGAAAGGGGGTCAGACTCTTTGCACTGAGACAGGTTGTTGTGTGTGGCTTATGGAAATCATCTTTTTACTTTAAGGAATAGATAGATAGATAGATAGATAGATAGATAGATAGATATGATGATTTAACTTTATTAGCTAACCTAATATATCTATTAGTTAAAATAGAAATACAAGGTAATTAAATTATATACCTGCATATAGATAGCAAGTCACTTACTGAGAAAAATTCTAGTTCAATCTACACCAAGGGGAACATGGACGTGCCCAAATAATTTCACTGGCAGTACAGAGTCGAAAGGTATTATCTCATGTGGCTCCTTGGGCCACATACAGTTCATTGATCAGTTAGTCTATGAAGAGCTTGAGTGCCAGATCAGGAAGACTGCATGATTCAAGGGAGGTGAGCAGTGACAATGTGGATCTTACTTCAGTGTCAAAGCCCAGCTCAGCTTTGCCATCTGGAAACAATGGTAACATGGTTCGCCTGTGAAGCCCAAATCTGCTCAGTCTACAACACTATCTCTATGAGCACTGAGCTCAGCATCAACTGCAAGGCCTCCTGAGGGTTAAACACAGAGACCAGCCAGCCAGCCGCAACGTCTTGGGACAAGGCCAGGCCTCTGGGCCCAGAGGGACGCCCATCATGGCACACCTGATGTGGCCAGCTTGGACAACAGCGAAGCTTGCTAGCTGATTTGGGGTGAAGCAAGCTAGAACGAGGCAATCACAAGCTAGGCAAGCATAACTAATGCATTAAAGACGCCTGAAGCTCTGCTTCTCGAATTGCAGCCGGTTAGTGCTGCTGGGAAACCGCAGCAGCACAGACTGTGCCAGCTGGTTGTGCCCCTATGTAAAGAATGAAGTGTCCCTTGGAGCAGAAGTTCAGAGGGCTGTTAAAATGTTAGTGCTAACACTGATAGATTCTGCTGCCAATTTCAAGCCACCAGGTCTTCAGTGAACATACTGTATATCCCTGTTGAGCTGGGGTTTCTGGGGCAAGGGGGTTAAGTGTCCGAAAACAAGGTGCTTGTCAGCAACTACTACATGTCTAGACCAACCATTCACTGTGATTCAATTAGTCAATAGCATCATGTTTAGTAATTGCATCTTTTATTCCAGTCAACAGACATTTTCCAAGTGCCTCCTGTTTGCTAGGTACTGTGCCAGCTGGAGGAATACAACCTGCCTGAAGGAGTTTAACACCTGGTAAGGAG